GTCTTCAACATTTCTCCTCCCTCAGAAATAAAACTTGGATGTTTCCTATAATGACTGTCTCCTCATTTTTCTTTTTTCTTCCTCACCTATAAATGGGGCTAATAATCCTTGATTACTTCCCAAAGACTTTAACAGTATCTTTTTTAAATATATATTTTATTGATATTTTACAGAGAGGAAGGGAGAGGGATAGAGAGTTAGAAACATCGATGAGAGAGAAGCATCGATCAGCTGCCTCCTGCACACCCCCTACTGGGGATGTGCCCGCAACCAAGGTACATGCTCTTGACCGGAATCGAACCTGGAACCTTTCAGTCCCCAGGCCGACACTCTATCCAGTGAGCCAAACCGGCTAGGGCAACAGTATTTTCTTTAATGAAAATCTTGATTAATAGCTTATCTATGAGAATAATTTTAAATATGTTTTTCTTTGTAGTTTGTTCTCTTTTAAATTGGCATCTATCGAAATAGATGGGATTCTTCTATTCTCAGAAGGAGCCAAAGCCCCTCCTGCAGGGGACATCAGACACCTGATATGAAAACAATATATTTACTGGGGGGGTGGGGGGGGGAATCATCCTATAAATCAGCAGGCAGGATAATGTAGCATGGAGGTTGGAGTCTGGCCACCTTACTCCAAGTCCTGCCTCGTTTACTTACTGTTTAATCCCACACAAGTTGCTTTAACCACTAGCAGACTCCGTTTCCTCCTGGGGAAAGTAACAGTAGCTATCACACAGAGCACCGTGAACAGTAAATCACAGGAGGCTCTTAGAACAGTGCCTGGCACACAGTGGACACTCAATAAAACTGGAACAAAGCTATCTATATCTTCATGTCCACTTTAAATACTTAAAAAAATTACTCCCCTATGCTCAGCAGGCCTGGCTCAGTGGTTGAGCATCGACCTGTGAACCAGGAGGTCACGGTTCGATTCCTGGTCAGGGCACATGCTCAGGTTGTGAGCTCGATCCCTAGTGGGGGGCTTGCAGGAGGTAGCCGGTCAATGGTTCTCTCTCATCATTGATGTTTCTATCTCTCTTTCCCTCTCTCTTCCTCTCTGAAATCAATAAAAATATATTTTTTAAAAATTACTCCTCTAAAAAGCATTGCCAGGAATAAGATTACTGTATTAAAATGTATAAACCAGCACATAAACTTGAACTCTATCTCTTCATATGAATCCACTATGTATATAGGCAGTAAGAGTCTGACAGTGACTATTCATTAAACGCCATTCCACTGAGTTAATAATCTCAGGAAAACAGTAAAATTTGTTCTAGGGAATCTTAGGAAAAAATATTAATAGGAGTTTATATCATAAAGAAAATGCAGATCTTGGTCTCCTCACCACAGTGTGAAAGGTCAGTCGGGGTGACCTCCCAGGTCTTTCCAGCTTTGCATGTCTATGACCCAACCTCTCCTTAGACAGCCCTCCACCCCACCACAAAGCCTCTGTCCCAGAAGGGGCAGTTTCTTCCCTCTTTCCCAAACATGCCTGACCTTTGATGTAAGAATTCTGCTCATCTCATCCTCTTTCACTCTACCTCCACCTGGAATAGCCTTTCCTCACCTTGAGAAGCAGCTCTGGCCATCACCCCAAGTTTAAATCTGACCCCTTCCTCCAGGCTCTTAGTTTTCCACCTCCTGCATCTGAATTAATGCACTCTGTCTTCAAAAATCTAGCGTGCACATATGTGCATATATAAATCATTTAATTTAGCTAGATCTGTGGTCACATCAACAGAAATCTACCTTAACTGAAGGCACACCGGGCTCTGAATTTAAAAAAAACAACACAATCCAGGTTTCTACTGCATCAATATCAACATTTTTACTATTGGCCAAGCTGACAAATTTATGACAATACAGAATCGAATAGTTGATATAACTGAAGGTGAAGGTCATGTCATAAAACGTTTAATAATCCACTTAAAATAGTTAAAAATTAAAGTCTGAATAGAGAGAAGAATGTGCATCAACATTAGTGTTTTTCCTTTTTTTTCTTTAACCAAGCCCACTTATAGTGTTTTAAATTTCTTAAAATTTCATTTCTTCTTCCAAGTTTAACTAACCCTTTTTACCAATCTATATTATAATCTGGAGATCGGGATAAGGAAACTGAATTCTGCTTTGGATATAGAAGACATATTCTAATCAAACAAAGCTACCAGAATAAATCATCTCTACAGAAAATGAATTAATATGCTTTTTCTTTCTTTAAAAAAACCACCCCTGTAATATTAATAAAAATATAACATACTTTAAAGGTTTAAATTCTTAAAATGAGAATTCATAATATGATAACAGAGTGTATCAAAGTGTAAAAGGCAGTGGGCACATCCAGTACTGGGTGAGGGCGCTAAGCTATGAGGTTATCATATTATAACATGGAGAGCAGTTGCAATACCCTGCCACCATGCACTACCAGCTCTCTTGGGTGTCATTTTCACCCGCGACTTACGAGATTTTCCGGTTTGAAGCCTCATCATCAGTGTGTAAACTGAAGCTGCTCCAGAGGCAACAGGGAGAGAAGCAGCTCTGGTGGCATTTGAACTGAAGATACTCAGGCAGAGAAACCAATCTGGTGGTGGTGTAAGAGATGAATGGAACCGGAAGAAGAGGAGACAGTAGGAACAGAAAGGACAAAGCAGAGGAGAAGACAATCAGAAATGTGATGACGGAATGAAAAAGAAGGGCAACTAAAAGAAAGCCAAAAGGTGAAGGAAATGTGGGGATCAGAGAGAGAAAGGGGAGAGAGGAAGGAGGAGGAAGAGAAAAAAAATGTAAACAATCTTTGGGTATATGAAAAGCAACATGTACCATATGCCTGTACATCTGATTGCTGTTTTTATAAATCACAGATGCTAGCAAATGACCAAATATGGAATTAGAATCTAGGCACAAATCCATGAACCTCAAGAACTGGAATATCATTGATACGCATTGTTTAAAAACAAAAATCAAAGCTTCAGGTCAACAAGTTTCATGAAAGTTACTGTCATACTGATTCTCTTGAGTGACTAGAACCTGGGGAGGAAATTCCATTGTTCTGTTCCTGAGTCTGAAACTGTTCAAACACAAACAGAAGAAGGTGATGTTGGTTTCTTAGTTGGTCATCTTCAAGCACAACCTGCCAACCGGAAATGCCACATAGTTCCCGAGCTCCTCAGAAAAGTATTTCCATCATGTCCATCTCTCTATATTTTTGGTCTATTTTTCCATTTTAAAGTGAATTCTAGCAGGATCTACCTGGAGCCAACCATGAAGTAAATCAGAAATTGATGTCCCTGTACTATGCCTTCCAGGGGCCAGGATTACAACGCTCCTTGGACCTGGGATGTTTCCCACATTTTCCTGACTCTCCCACTCTACCAGAAACAACATGAGCTCCCCAAACAGTCTTTAATCACTCAAAAACAGGCATAATGAATTATTAATCAAGAAATGAGTCCTTGTTAGGGTAGAGCTAGCCAATAAATGATCCTTTCTAGGTAAGAAATGATGGGAAAGCAAATTAACACTTAGTTTGTGCATTAGATCCCTTACATATACTAGTAGTTATAACTATACTAATGGTAAGAATTTCCATTCAAGTACCAAAGTTATGAGGGAATTCTTTAGGCACAACTGGCCTTTCTTCAGCTTCCAAATCGGCCCACATATGTCCCTGTCTACATGTAAAGTTGATGCAGACTAGCAGGTTATAGAGCTCTTGGCCTAATGCAAATACCATGAGATGAATTAAAACACTGCTCTTCATTATTATTGAATTATTCTAAAACCCATTAATATTTTTGGCATTTCCAAACCCCCCCCCCCAAAAAAAATCTGAAAGGTTGATTGGAAGCATCATATTCAAACATCAAGTCCTTCAGCAGAACTGAATTTCATTAGAGACTTCAACTTCCCACGACCAAAACCCAAGTCAAAGGGACTAGAAGTAATTAAAAGGCTACCAGATATGGAAAGCCTGAAAGTCCCACATTCGTTGGCTGCACCTGGACATGTGGACTTGACTGCAATGACCCGGTACCCACGGTGACCTTAAACACTGACAGGAACAAAGTCCGCCTGCCAGGTCAAGCCTGAAATAAGTGAGATAAACTCTTCAAGATACAAAGCGTAAGCAACGTTTGGGAATGTGGGACTTCCTAATAAAAATTTGTATTAAACTCTTGGAACATAAAAAACCTTTCTGAATCTGGATGTCTCTGTCTTGGCAGGCAGTACTGACTGACACACTCATGGACAGTAACTCTAAGTACGGTGCTCGGCAAATTATAGCAACTCAAAAATATTCTTCAGTGCATGAATGACTGTTCATTCACAATGAGTGGATGAACAATTCAGTGATATTATGCCCATTAGTGATACAGGTGGTCGGCACCCACCCTCCCTTAACACGGTGGCATTTCAGCCAGGAGAGACTAGAGAAGGAATCCTTAGAAGGAAACAGAAGATTGACTGGTGACCAAAGAAACATGCTTAAAGGCATCTCATTAATAAAAGTGACCACTACAGCATTCCATGCCTATGACTAAGAAGACATCTCACAGAACACTCACCTGAGCTACCACTGGAGGAGGGGAGGGGGGCAGCAGGGTACAAACATCAACAAGGTGTTCTGGAAATTCTCACATCTCAATGTGCTGCCTCTACCCAGAAAACAGAGCCTCAATCACGACATCAGCATCTCCCTGGTTCCAGAAAAGCATGTGCCTGTGCAGGCTCCTGTTGTTCCCTATGGCAGCAGAACTTACTCTTTGTGCTGAATGAAGGAATGGTGTTTCCTGAAAGCTGCTTAATGCTACAGAGCATGGCCCCAGGGATGACCCCAGGAACTCGCGAAGAAACTTGCATTTTGAAATGACTGGAAATGGAAATGCCATGTGGCAAGATACAGCAATCCGTGGCCCAGGGTCATCGCAGACTCGAGGGGCCCTGCTGTCCCTATGTATCCTGCCACCTGCGCCTCCCTCCTGGTTAAAGAAACTCACCGCAGTGCAGAATGCCTTCCGGAGCGGGACACACTGTTGCCCACGGGGGAGGGCAGGTTGCTGCCTCTGTGCAGGTCCTCGATGGACCTGCTCCAGGGCTTTGATTTGTCCACCGAGCTCTCCACGGTGCTTTCCACGCTTTCAAAGTCAAACCTGAAACAAAAGAGAAATGCCAGGTGAGACTGAGAGATTCACATTTACACAAACACCTGGATGTGCACAACTTGCTCCTTCCTTTTGTATGTCTGCACCTTAATTTGGGTAGTCTTTGCAAACAAACAAACAAAAACTAAAAGGGAAGTACAAAAAATACCCATGGACTCCGTGGTAGCTTCAAAAATACAGAATGACAAATACTGGGCCAGGCAAAGTAGCTGAACAACAGCAAAACTTAAATAGTGATGTATCTGCATTTTACAATAAAGTTTGCTAGCTTACCAATTGCCAACATTGCTCAGATGGGAGGTGGGGGAGGGTGGAATCGTACAGATGTCTTCATTTTGCTTTAACACGTCAATATGTTAGGCTTATACTAATTTATTCCTACCCATCAATTTTCACTGCGCATTTTCTCCTGGTGCGTTGGCAAGTGTGCTTTTCCAACCATATGTGATACATTACTCGCAAACGTATGAATTTGCTTTGATTTTGGAATAGCTTCCCAATGTGGTGCTCTTTAAAGTAGGACTGTTGTTTCTCTGACATTTTTGAGGTTATTACTCATGTTAACCATGTTAGAATAAATGGCAAGTTAAGGCACTCGGTCTTGTATAATTTTAGGGGCAGCATTTCTAAACAGACAGACCTTTGAGTTCTATGTATTTTTCCCCTCCCAAAGTCATAAGCTCTGCGTTCCCCCAAAAAGTATTTTATCAATTGTTTCTACCCATAGTTCTACCTGACCCGATAGAGAATAAACAGAAGGCAACTATAATTAATATCATCTGGAAGATCTTGAAGGCTATCACAGAAGAGACAGCACCAATACATATTGGAAATAATGAGTATGACTTTTTATGAAAAAGTATGACTTTTATAAAAAGTATGATGGCCAAAATAAAATATTTGGTTAGAACAGTCATCTGTAAACCAGGTGATGTTCTCCATCTATTTAATATTAATCCAGATGTCACAGACTGGTGTATAATGGCATTGAATTCGTCTGACAATTCTGTCATGCCTTAGGATTCAGGAAACAGTGCTCAACAGAAAAGAGGTGGAAGCTGTGTAATCGAATAGATCCTTGAGTACTAAAAATAGAAGCCTATAATTGAGATAGGAGAAGGTAAGCCGAGGGGGCATTCCAAGGTCACTCAAGTCTGCCCCACTCTTGCCACGCCTCTCTGCAGCCCCCACGTCATTCAGCTGTCCAGCTCTCGTGTTCCTTTCGGCTGGTCCCCAACTCTCACACGGCAGAAAAAGGAACCACGTGGTGAAAGCTTGTGCTTTAGGGATGGAGACTGAGCCCGCTGTTTCACATTCGTGGGCTGGGAAGTTGTCACATGCCAAGGAATAGCAAGAAATTTTCCAGCCCATTAGTTTCAAGAAAGAACATAAATTATGTGTCTCTATATAATTTGTCATCTAATTAATGCAAAAGAAAACCAAAACTAATCAGCACAAATGTGAAGCCAACGCAAAAAAAAAGAAGATTGGGAAGCAAAAGTTCTGAGTTCTGATGTTTTGTTGGGTTTGATCTTCTGCCACAGTTGGGAAGAATTCCCTCATGGTGGCATGGCCTTTTCCCATGGGTTTTTGTAGGCACACGTTTGGAAAAGCTGGTTCCAAAGCTCTACTGTGATTAGATAAAAGGTTAATTACAGAAAACATATAGCACAAAGCATACCATTCTTTTCATTATTCCTGATGTTTCTTAGCCCTTCCTTAATTCCATAAATAATCTTCCAGATTATAAAATATGCAACAGAGTACTATTATTGGTTTGTCATATGATATGAAGTGCAAAAGGAGATTAGCAGTTTTGATATAGTGGGAGATAAGAAACAACCTTTGGAAGAGTATTCTATAAAAACTAAGATTTTATTTCAGAGGACACTTTCTCAGGAAGATAAGCACCTGTGTTTTGGTTTTTTCTTACTTTATTCCACATATAAAAGTTATCAAAGCTGAAACTCATCAAGCCAGTTTCAGTTAATTCTTTAGTTTCTGCATCAATAAGGTAGGAATAATTATAGCTTTCTCCTCACAAATTCTCAAGGAAGTGATGAGGATAATAAGATAAAACAGCATCTGGTTAGGTCTTAAGATTTTATTGGAGTGAGGCAATATAAAAAAAACAAGTGAGTGCTTTTAAAAGAAGAATTGGGGGGGGGGGGGGGGGGATGGAAATATCACCTGAGCCATAATATCCTCCAGTAAATTAAAAATACAATATGTGTGAGAGCATATCTGTGGATGCAGAAATATTTTTTGATTAAAGGAGGAAATGTAGAGACAGAGAAGCATCAATCAGATGCTCAAAACTCAGAGGGAAGGTAGGGGAGGGTGGGGGTGAGGGTGAGGGCAGGATTGGGGGGATGAGGGGACATTGGGGGGATAAGGACACATTTGTAATATCTTAATCAATAAAGGGGAAAAAAATAAATAAAGGAGGAAATGTGGAGAATAGAATATCTCATTCAAATGTACTTTTCATTCCTGTTGTAAATCTTTCCACAAGTGAAGCAAATAAGAAAAGTTTATGAATTAACAAAAACTAGGTTAAATAAGTTATGTTTTTTTCTGCTTTGCTCCAACTTTGTCCCCTTCACCTTTATGAAAGGTAAGTCAATACAAATACATAAAAGTAAAAAGGGCAAGCCTCTTGTTCACCGCTTCCAGTCTGCTATTTATTTCTGTATTTACTAGCACATGCAAATACACATATATATGCAATTTTTTTAATAAAAAGGGAGTCGCTCTTCTGTATTCTGCTTTACTCAACAATATATCATACACCTCTCTTAGTAAGTGCTAGAGTATTCTACCTTGTGGATATATGTGACTTGAGCACTAAACAAAGTAGTTCTGTTTAAAATAAGGACTCTTCAAGGGTAATTTTTACTCCGCTGTTTTACTTCAGCCTTAAAAGCATTTCTAATAACAATTATGGGATTTGCTTTTAGCTGTTTGAATAGAAACAAGCCTCCTTAAACCATAGCACATCTGCTTCTGGTTTCCCGGGCAGCGCAGGGTGTAACTGTACCACTGAGCTGCATCTTCTGCGACCACATAAAATGCAAAAGAACAAGCCAAGTTTTACTTACGTTACCGCATACTGTGCAAACGACAGATACTCCACCAGGACATCGAGGCCTTTGTTTTCTTCATTCAAAAACTCTCTGACCCATCTGTTGGGGAAAAAAATTATGGGGGAGATTCGTCACATGCTCTGCCACGAAAGGCCACGGTGAAAACTTTTGTTTTTCCACCACCAACATTCATTGCCTGAAAGGAAATCGGTACTAAGGAAGCCTGGACTCTATCACACCAGGTAGTAGCTTTCAGAGAGACCAACTAAGAAAACCGCAACATTTCAATGTGCAAGAATAGGAGGCCAAAGGCGTATGTGGGCCTTCTTTGAATTTTACTGCTTAAGAGACTTAAGATAACCCCTAAGAAACTCGCTAAAAAAAGGCACTTGCTAAATGTACTTTTTCCACCATAACTGATCCCCAGCCTGCTTGCTACAGGAGCCAAGACTGCACGGGGAGGGAGGCAGACGGGGGACATGACGACATAACCACTGAAATCCAGGCGCGAGTCCAAATCCACATTCAACTCTTTTCTTGGCACACGAAGCTGTAGAAAATGCTCAACCAGCCAATGAGAGACCAGTGTTTATGGGCTTCTGGAAATTCGATAGGGATGATTGGCTTAACTTTTTCCACGAATGTTAAAACCTTTCAAGAAGTTGCAGACACCGCATACCATCATCAGAGTTGAGACGTGACAAATACCATGTTTTTCAAAAATTCTTTTGAAAATAGGACCACCTTGCATTTGAGTGGTGGATTTGAATGCAGTTCACTGGTTTTCTTTTACAAATTTTTATTCATTTGTCATAATCATTCCAAGCGATGAAGTAGGCTAGTCGAACAGAACTCTTAGGTCCTGGAGATAAACAGCTGTCACCCCACCTTACAAGGTTCCCCAGGGCGTCCATCATCAGAAAACATGGGACACCCCATTAAGCCTTCACTAGATTGGAAACTCCAACAAATAATATCTGCTACTATCTCAGAAGTGAAACAAGGTACATCTGCCAAGGACATTCCAAAATGGCTGCCTCTTCCATGCACACCCAGCCCACGAGGCCCAGCAGGCGTGGGCACGAGAGCTACCACGGGAGCTGGTGAACATTGGTCAATCCTGCCGTGTGTCCTTGAGGTCTCTGTCTTAAAGGAAGAAAAAAAAAATCTGGAACTCAAGATGCCTGCTTTTTATTTTTGTTTTTTTGGAGGGTATTTTCTTAGTTTTTGTTTTATCCTCACAGTTCATTCTTCCTTAAAGAAAGTTTTCTTTTTAATTGATTTGAGAGGAAGGGAGAGGGACAGAGAGATAGAAACAGCAATGGTGAGAGAGAATCATTGATCAGCTGCCTCCTGCACGCCCCTACTGGGGATTGAGCCCACAACCCGGGCATGTGCCCTGACTGTGACCTCCTGGTTCATAGGTTGATGCTCAACCACTGAGCCATGCTGGCTGGGCCATTCGTCCTTTCATGTCCGGCCATCTCCAGAACGTAACCTCATGTCTGTAGGTGGTTCCAATAGACAGACAGCAAGGTGGGGAAAAAAGACGCTGGCCTCAGATTTTCCCCCAACAGCCTCGGGCAGACTATCACAAAATGTATGCATTTAACATAGCCCCACGCAAGCAAATAACATTTAATTTTCAAGAGACCAGGCGTGGCAACCCTGGCAAGGAAACACACCACCACTGGGCCCCACAAAGTGGCTCTGCTATGGGAGCTCACCCAAACTAACAGGGCCAGATGCTGGTCAGGGCAGAAGTTTCATTCCAAAACCACTGCACACACAACCTCACGGCATCTTGACTGTGACCTCCTGGTTCATAGGTTGATGCTCAATCACTGAGCCATGCTGGCTGGGCCATTCTTCCTTTTATGTCCCGCCATCTCCAGCATGTAAACTCATGTCTGTAGGTGGTTCCAGGAGACAAACAGCAAGGTGGGGGGAAAAGACGCTGGCCTCAGATTATCACAAAATGTATGCATTTAACATAGCCCCAAGCAAGCAAATAACATTTAATTTTCAAGAGACCTGGCGTGGCAACCCTGGCAAGGAAACACACCACCACTGGGCCCCACAAAGTGGCTCTGCTATGGGAGCTCACCCAAACTAACAGGGCCAGATGCTGGTCAGGGCAGAAGTTTCATTCCAAAACCACTGCACACACAACCTCACGGCATCTGCTACTAGATACTTATTTTCATCTGATTTATTTTAATTGGTCCCTACACAACTAGGCCTCAGGAGAGAGTGGATTTTTTAAGCACTGATAATTAGAAGCTTGGAAATAGTAACAGAATTTTTTTCTTTTTACAACTGGTAGGAGACTAAAGAAAGGCTAAAAGTCACTATGAGAACCGGATGACTAGCTACAGACCCCTCGGCTGCTCTCAGGCCTCTCCAATGGTCTGACCTACGGGCTCTGACCGCACCATCTGAACGGGCCCTCGGGGGTGGGTCACAGCAGGGAGCCCCAGAGCTGGGCATGGGGGTCGTTTTCGTACAGGAAATGTCACCAACGGGCCCAGGTTTTCCAGGGCAGTCTCGGCTCTCCATATCCTCAGTGGCCACGGGGAATACTCAAGTGTAGGAGCTGAGAAAAACAGCCACATAGGTCCTTCTGGTTGATTTTCCAGACACAGCCTTTAGGTCCAGGACACTCTGAGGACCTGTGATGGCCTCAACCACTGTCATAGCCATCTCACTTGAAACTTCAGCTGCACAGTTAGACAGACGTGAGCAGAGCAAGGGCGAGCGGGTAGGTACAGAAGGCCATTCAGGCGGAAAGCCTAGCATCGGACAAAGCTGGGAAAACAAGGACCTTGTCCCCAGACCCCCTGATCTTTCATATTGCTGGTCATGCAGCTCGGACCCTCCAGGACGGTGAGGTTCTGACCCACATCACATACATCTAGGCCTCAGTTATGCTTCAGCTCCAGGCCCAGAAAAGCAGCGAAACAGACAAGCGAGGCCAGGGCTGACAACAGGACCAGCTGCATTGATTAATGACCAACCAATCAGTGGAGACCATGACCCTGAAAGGGCACACCTGGAAAGTTGATGAATATTCTATTGGGATCCTGCCCTGCACCCTCCAGATAAATACCCTCAAGACAAGAACCCAGTGCCTCTCTCTAAAAGGAGCTGCCCCCCCACTCCCACCCCCATCCCCCAGCAGTGGTTTCCTTGCCTCCCTCTTTCTCCTAAGCTCCAAGGGCCCTTCTTTCGCCCGTGTAGCTTGTCTCCTGAGCCCATTTCTTCGATGGCTCACTTCTTCTACCTCTGTGACTTTAAATAAGCTTTCCCTTACAGTTTGAAGAAAAAAAAAATGGAAAAAACGTTCAGCCACAAACTGGATAGGAGGCAAATGACTCAGAGATAATGAATTAAAAAAAAAAGGAAGGAAGAGAGAGAGGAAGAAAGGAAAGAAGGTAGGAAATAGCCAAGCACAGCCAGAGCTTCAATTCTCTTGACTCAAAATGCTAATATGCATATAGTCTGATGTAAGGACAGACTATTAATTAGCTTCCCTTACTTCAATCCAATGTTCTTATCAATACCTCCACTCCCACTTTATGACTTTGAGCAAAAGTGCCTTAAAAACAACTTTCAAGTTGAAAGGCAGGAGCCAGCTGCTCAGTTCCTGCTCATGTCCTGCCTCAGAGATTTCATTTCATGTGGACAACCTCTTTCTAAGCTGCAAGATCTTCCCTGGGCCTCTGATCTGGCCCAGGCACCCCGAGGTGATTTAGGAAATAAAATAAAAGTATATCATGGTTGATTATCTTACCCCATTAGTCAAACTCATTTCAGCAAAAAAAAGCTATAAACAGCCTTCACTTTTCCCCTCTCAATCCCTGTCCCTTCCACACTGGGGATATTCTGAACAGAAAACACAGGTGAGAGTGAACTTCTGTGGAAATGAAAGAAGATGGGAAAAAAAAGGCAAACATGAAAAAAGGGCAACTTTCTAGCAGTATCTTGAAGCTAAAGACATTAAAAAAAAGGATGCCCCATTCTGCAGATTTATGTATATAATCATGCAATGCAATAGCATAAATGTTGAGTTCCTGTAGTCAATTTCCATTTTCACCTCTGTGCATGCTATACACATTTTGTTTTATATATTACCAATAGGCAAACAGTTTCAAATTGGGTAATGATAGGTTTTGGAAAGCAGAATTATTTCTGACTCTGATAGCACGCATCACGTACTAAGCACCTCACAGACTCACTGTAATTACCACTGCTGTAAAAGTGAATTAGGCAAATTTCCAATCAGCTGCTCAGGAGCCAGAAGAGACGTGGACAAGAAAAATAGCTCCAGAAAAAACCTTCTTCAAGGACGAGATCTAAGTGCAGGTGCCAGCAGCTACTGTTTTATTGTCGACAGGTCAAAGCTTCGTTTCCGAATTGCTGTTTTCTCTCTACCCCGGCAAATCTTAAACCTCATTATTCTCAGCTAGAGACACAAGATAAAGGGACAAAGCATGAATTCCCTTTGCTAGTCTCCAGCCTGTGGGCCACATAAGGCCCGTGAAATCATTTGGTCTGGCCCTGCCAAGGCATTAGGGGTGAGTTAATTAAATGTTTGACCAAATATAGCAGGCTAATTTTTAAGTTGATAACTTTGTATAGCTTGCAAATGATGCTATAAATATCCCTTGGCAGGAAAAGGTTCCCCACAGGCATGGTGAACTGCAGTGGCTAAAAAATCAAGAAAGAGAGAGAGAGAGAGAGAGAGAGAGAGAGAGAGATTAGCATCACCCATATTCATCATTAGCTACCAAAATCTAGGAGATGAGAGAGAGAGAGAGAGAGAGAGAGAGAGATTGATTAGCATCACCCAGATTCATCATTAGCTACCAAATCTAGGAGACAGTGTCACAAATTGGTTCTCAAAGTATAGCCCGCACACCACTAGGGGTCCCTGAGACCCTCCCAGGGGTTTGTGGAGTTACAAGTGTTTTCATATAAATATTAAGAAAGTAGTTATTTTTGTCACCGTGCTGACATTTGTACTGATGGTACAAAAGAAATGTGGGTGGCCCGGCCGACATGGGTCACTGGTTGAGCATCGAACTATGAACTTGGAG